CCGCTAAACCTGGAGAAAAATCGTATGACGAACTGGTCAAATGTATGACTCAACACCACAACCCAGTACCGTCGGAAATCGTCCAACGATTCAAGTTCAACAGCCATGACAGCAGATATCGTGAAGAGGGTGAGTCTGTAGCCCAATATATCGCTGCTCTGCGTTCTCTCGCAGAAGTTTGAAACTATGGAGGCACATTGGACGATATGTTGCGGGATCGATTAGTTTGCGGTGTCCGAAATGACCGCATTCAACGTAGCCTTCTTGCTGAAAAAACTCTGACACTTGAGAAAGCATTGGCAACGGCTTTGAGCATGGAGAGAGCGGCCAAAAATGTGAAAGATTTGCAGGCCACGCAAACCCACAGTGAACGAACATTGAACAAACTGTCGCAAAGCCAACCAACAGTTGCACGAAAACCTGTATTCAGTGCAAGTAAGAAGCAAGAGCATGTGCAGAAAGCCTGTTATCGCTGTGGTAAAGACAACCACCATTCCGACAAGTGCAGATTCAAGAACAATACTTGTTTCAACTGCCAGAAACGAGGACATATCGCAAGTGTCTGTCGCAGTGGAAAAAGTGGAAAAAGACCACATGTCAAGCAAATGAGTGCCGCTGTGGACAGTAATTTCAATGAAAGTGAAAGTGATGAGAATGCGTCTGATCTTGACATGAACACACCCATGTACTCGCTCTTCGGATGTTCGACTGACCGCCCGGGCATGAAGGCAATCAAAGTCACCATGTCCGTTGACAACATCGACCTCGTCATGGAGGTTGACACCGGAGCATCGCTTTTGCTTGTATTCAGAACAGACATTCAAGTCACGGTGGCCAAACGCGAACCTGCAAAAGACAAAACTGAAACTCCGCACCTACACCGGGGAACAAGTCTCAGTTCTCGGAAACTTCAATGTGGAAGTTGACTACAACGCAAGTATGTTCAACCTCCCGCTACTCGTTGTTAAAGGCGATGGACCAAGCCTTCTTGGACGAAACTGGCTTCAAGAAATTAAACTTGGCTGGCAGCAAATCAACGTTCTGCACACGACTACAAGCGTTGAGGAAGTACTTAAAACTCATTCTGCAGTATTTAAGGATGAGTTGGGTACTTTGAAGGGAACAACCGCCAAGATCTACGTCGACAAGGACGTCCGACCACGATTTTGCAAAGCACACGTAGTACCCTACGCCATGCGAACATTGGTGGACAATGAACTTGACCGTCTGCAAGCTGCAGGAATCATCGAACCGGTTGAGTTCTCCGAGTGGGCAGCGCCCATAGTTCCAGTCCTCAAGTCAGACAAGTCTTCCGTGAGAATCTGCGGGGACTATAAGCTAACGGTGAATCAAGTCGCGAAGTTGGATAAATATCCAATACCCAGATTGAGGATTTGTTCGCGTCTCTCGCGGGTGGAACCAAATTCACCAAGCTTGATCTCTCTCAAGTATATCAGCAGCTGATTTTGAATGAGGAGTCGCGTACCTACGTGGTGATTAACACGCATCGCGGCCTATTCCGCTACACCCGCCTGCCCTTCGGTATTGCCTCTGCACCCGCGATTTTTCAGCGCACAATGGAGAACATTCTGCAAGGCATACCGCATGTGACTGTGTATCTGGATGATATCCTGATCACAGGCGCCGATGACCAGTCTCATCTCACTACGCTGTCAACTGTGCTGGCTCGCTTAGAACAAGCTGGCCTTCGCCTCAAGTTGAGCAAGTGCACATTCATGGCTCCTTCCGTTGTGTACTTGGGCCATACTATCGACGCTCAAGGTCTGCACCCAACCGCAGATAAAGTCAACGCTATCCGTAACGCACCAGAACCGACAAATGTGACTGAACTGAGAGCATACCTTGGACTGCTTACCTATTATGGTAAGTTCTTGCCTCAGCTTTCAACAACGCTCGCCGCCTTGTATCGCCTCTTACGCAAGGACACCCGATGGAGATGGGGTACTGAGGAAAAGCAAGCCTTCAGTGCTTCTAAGGATCTTCTGCTATCGTCGAACTTGTTGGTACACTTCGACCCCAAGAAAGACGTCATCGTGTCATGTGATGCATCCCAATATGGGATCGGCGCCGTTCTCGCCCACAGAATGCCGGATGGTTCGGAAAAACTAGTCGGTTTCGCCTCACGCACACTGGCTCCTGCGGAAAAGAAATACTCCCAGATTGAAAAGGAGGGCCTCGCCTGCGTCTTCGGTGTAACTAGATTTCACAGTTACATCTACGGTCGTCATTTCACACTAGTGACTGACCACAAGCCTCTTCTGAGTCTCTTCAACGAGGAACGCGCAGTACCGCCCCAAGCCTCTGCTCGCATTCAACGATGGGCACTTACCTTGGCGATGTATTGAATACACGCTGAGACCGTACTCCTAATGGAGCACATTGACGCGTCCCCTCTCTCCACCACGCACATTCGCAACTGGACTCCACGTGACCCCGTCCTATCAAAGGTACTCCAGTTCGTCGAGGGAGGATGGCCTCCACATGATAAGGTGAAGGACTTGAAACCGTACACCACTCGCAGTACTGAGCTCTCAGTACAAGACGGCTGTCTCATGACTTTTGTGGGGCAGTAGAGTGATCGTTCCGCCAAAGGGACGTAAACGCGTCCTACAGTGTCTACATGAAGGTCATCCTGGGATCGCTAGGATGAAAAGCCTCGCTCGAGGATTCGCATGGTGGCCAAAGATGGACTCTGACATTGAATTCGAAGTCAAGGGATGCCACAATTGCCAACAAAACCAACCGATGCCACCAAAGAATGAACTGCATCTTTGGAAATGGCCTGAACGCCCATGGTCGAGACTACATATCGACTATGCGGGCCCCTTCCTGGGCAAGATGTTTCTCATCATCGTGGACTCGCATTCGAAGTGGATGGAAGTCTTCCCACTGAACCATGTCACAACACACGCGACCATCGAGAAACTTAGGCAAGCCTTTGCCACCCATGGGTTGCCAGACAAAGTTGTGTCTGACAATGGCACACCATTCACTAGCGCAGAGTTTCACGAATTCATGACCAAGAATGGTATCCTGCATATTCGCACCTCGCCATATCACCCAGCCTCAAACGGATTAGCTGAGCGTGCAGTCCGTACCTTCAAGCACAATATGAAGCGAATGGACACAGGGACAGTTGAAACTAAGGTTGCAAGATTCCTGTTTCACTACAGAACTACTCCGCACACTTCAACAGGTCTGTCTCCCGCGGAAATGCTGATGGTTCGACGCTTACGCTCCCACCTTGATCAGATTCGCCCTGATGTAGCTCAGCGTGTCATCAAACAACAGGAAAAACAGAAACATCATCACGACAAGCACGCCAAGACACGTGTGTTTGAGATTGGTGACACAGTCCTAGTTCGCAACTTCACTAAGACTGGCTACTTATGGCTACCAGGCACCATCGCAGGCTATGCTGGTCCAGTCTCCTACAAAATTCGTTTAGTTCACAATGGTTGCGAGATCAAACGACATGTGGATCATCTTCGCAAACAAGACAGCGTACCACATGAACCGCATCACGAGTCGCACAACCTGGACGACGACATTGACTTTGGGTCTGCTACCGCCATCCCACTTCAAGAACAACCTCCCGTGGAAAATGTCATCCCTCCAGCAAGCAACGACCAGCCTGAACCACAAGCACCGGCAGAACCAGAACCACAAGCACCGGCCGAACCTGAACCGCAACCTGTTCCACCAGCTGACAGGAAATACCCAGCTCGCATCAGGAATGCACCTGACCGCTATGGATTCAAAAACACTTAATCTGCATGTTCACATAGGTTAAGTACAGCTGCACACATCTGAGGCAGAATAATCCTCAGTGCAGTTTGTTGCAAGTCAGGGTAGTCCACCCCTGTACTTACTTAAAAGTTTATCATGTTTGTTATTTGTTGCAAGTTGCAAACGTTTTTAAAAACACATAACAGTTTTCGATTCGGCCTGGATAAAGTGATTTCTATAACAATCAGTTATGCTAAGATTTTGAAATTGATCCATAACTTGCTTTGCATAAGTTAAAGCTTTAATTGGACAGGTTTCATTATAGGGAGGAGGAGTGTAATATTCCGCCAATCGACATGTTGGCTACTCTACTAACTGTTATTGTGTACTGTCATGACCCCTGACCCGCGTACTGAACTCTGTTACATTCACACACGCGGTGTATACATTTTCGTTCTGTACATGTACGTGCATTGCTGTAGTTGTGTTGTGTGTACTGCAGTATGTAATAAAGAGTGCTCTCCAGTGCTGAGCCAAGAAATCGAGAATAAACCAGGTTATCACAGCTCATTACACCATTATTGTACACATTATCTACACTATTGTTTAGGTAAGAAAAGACTGTTTTCCAAGGAATTTTAGCTGTCTTCAAAACAACATTTGATGCTGATTAAATTCTTCAAACACGGGGGCAGTACGAATAACAGCATTTCATCATGTTTTACCAGAAAGGCCGAGGTTTGTCTTGATTGCCAACTTGTTCCTTTTTCAGTTTCTCTTCCTCGGTTGATGCCGCCCCGTTTTGTTTGCTCTCCTCGTCTTCTCCTGCCTCTTGACGCCTTTCTGGCTCGGGTCCAGCTGCTTCGTCTCTCGAATAGCCCGTTACTGATGCAAGTAGGAATCAGAGTGCATCATAATTATTGTTTACAAATAATGTTTAACTAATTTCGAACTTTTCTTTTAATTAGCAAGGCAGTTTTTTTCTGACAATACAGCGTCTGATATAAGGTCTAGTCTTCATCTTCTAGCTCACCTGGTACATTTTGGGCCAAATCAGTCAACCCGATGGCCTCCAATGCTCGTCTCAGCTTCTTAGCTGCTTCGTCGCGATCTGTCGTCTTTTCCCACCAAGTGAGTAGCATGTGACGGCTCTCTTCAGTGCTGCCTTCGTTGGTGGTTTGGATTGTTGCAATTTCCGCTTCTTCATATCCTAGGTGTTTGGCCACTTCCTTCCATGATGATTCAATTTTCAAAGACAAGTCCTTGAGGTACTCATCATCAATGGCGGCTTTGTCTGCCAAAAGAATTTTCAACTAAACCTTCAGTGAAACATTTTCAACAGCTACAACAACAAAGGCCATCGTTTTTTTATAAACGGCTAAGTAATGATAACACAATCTCCATAGGAACGTGTTTTATTCCAGAAATTTGCCATTTACCTTTTGGTACTTTGTCGCAATTCTCATCGTCTTCAGATAGACGGAGAGAGATGATTTCATCCTTGTCGACACCATTCTCCTCAAGGGTGAGTAAGTCACAGAGCTGATAGTAGATAATTGTAAAAGTAAAGGACTTTGTTTAAACGACTATTCGTAAATACCTCAGACAGTTTACGCATTCCTATTGGTCGAGAGCCCGTCACGTGGCCGGTCTTAAACGGATGATAAAGACATGGCTAGCTGGTCTTAAACACTTTTCCAGTGTCACAATAAAATGTGGACTCCTAAAAATCCAGTGCCTCTTATCGTTTCACTGGATGAACGTTCACAATCCTCACGTAGGCATGCGCAACACTACCAGGGAGTCAAAATTTTATAGTTCTAAATTCAACACGTAACGCACCAGGTGCATTCTGCGCGACATCGCGCAGAACACGATACGCGCGCGTCAATCTCCATAAAAGGGTTGTTTACATCTTACTCGCCAGCTGAACACTCCATTATTTTGCAAGAGGGATGTTTCAAAAAGCATAAAGTGAATTTGTTGAACAAAATCGGGATGTTTTGAACGAATTATATGATTTTTTCTTACCGAAAAGGTATTTATGAATGGGAATAAATATGTGCTCCGTCGGTATTTATCACTCTGTTTAAGACCACTTAGAATCTGGGTACTGATAATTACCCGAGCCTCCGGCTAAGTGGTCTTAAACAGATTGATAAAAACCTCCAGAGCACACATTTATTCCCTTATTATTACACACTGTGTTGGTTTTAGGGGTTTCTTAAATATTGGGTTTAGGTTTTGTCTTTAGTTTTAGGTTGTGGTTTATTATCATGTTTAAGCTGGTTATTGGTCTTCGGTCGTATGTTTCTGATTTTAAGTAATTTAGCTCTTTAGTTATTGTTGGTCCCTTAGCTTACATTTTGGTTTTATTTTGGCCCTTGTACTTCCCCGAGGAATGAGGGAGGACATTTATCGCAGTCTTCATCAAAGCATGAAAACACTTGGAAATGGGCAGGTCCTCAAGCTGGTTAGACATAACGAGACTATGGGCTCTATGCGGCAGTATAGGAGGAGAGTGCAGCAACAGGAGTCGTCTACACCTGCATTTTAGATCGCCTACTGTAGCATTGCACCTCCAGAGGAGTTCCAGGATCCATGATGTGGTGTGTCATGGCAACTCAGCCAGAGTTTGAGCTATACTTGAGGATCCCGATAGATTCGGTGTCTGTGTCTCTATTCATTCAATTTCCTCGCGACCGTTCCCTTCAAAGATCCTGAGTTTAGTTTAGTTTGGTTAGTCAATAATCTTGAATTTTCAAAATGCAACTATGCGCAAACTTCGTATCTTTCAAATGTAATTATATTGTACATTAAAACATACCGACCTGAACGTTTCGCCGGATGTACAGACGCTGACGCCGCGCCTCGACACCAATTTGCTTTTCAATGAGCTCTTTTAGCGATTGGACGGATTTCTCCGGATCCAGTTGGAAGCTAAGCGTCTGTGGTGCATCATCGTTGGCATTTTCGGGAGTTTGGAGAGAGATGTTCAACTTCTGTTTCGCGTTACTGATGACACTGTCAACAAAAATATGGCAGTAACAGAAACAATAAGGTTCGGAATTTGGTTTCACAGCAAAAACGGAATATAATGAAACTAGTTTTTGATCACAAAGGACGAGTTTAACAAGGTGATTTTATTTCAACCGCAATTATTCTTTAAATGAAGATATAAACAAATTCATATTTATGTTGTAATAATATTTCTGTTTTAAGTTTAACTTGGAAGTTAAAAAAAAAATTCCTTTGCTCGCCACGCCCCACAATTTATATTTAAAAAAAATGTTTAACCTTCCAAGAATAAACCTTTTCACTGATAATAATTATATGTGCGCATGCGCATATTTGGTCGCGATGCATTGAAAATGTACAGGGGTACAAAAATTCGGGTCCTTTTTGTAGATTCCAGGATTTCTCGCCTTTTTCTGTAGAAAAGTTCCTTAAATCGTCACAGGTAATAATATTCATCCTAATCGTGTTTTCTTTTGTGATGCACAAAATAAAAGCTTACAAAATATTGCTTACGTCGCGTGCAACGGGGTCGAAGGAAATTAGCAGGGCTCCTTTTTCAGTGATCATTTTATTCGCGTGAAGAGCAATATTATTTTTTAGGGGCCGGTTTTCTATCTTGAGAGGGGCACAAGTTTAATGTTGCGAGCGGGGCACTAATTGTGCTTTCGAGGGGCAGTTTTCCATCTCGATAAATTATCGCGAGAGGAGCACTTGTTTTTGATGGCCAATTATCCATCTCGAGAGGGGCACATTTGTATTATTGCGAGAGGGGCATTTTGTGCTTTCGAGGTGTAGTTTTTCATCGGGGTACTTGTGTTTTTTGACATGTTTCTCTTAAAGAGAAATAAAGTCCCAAATTGTAAAACCATCTGATTCCAATGATAGCGCAAAACAAGACTAAGATAGAATTTAAATAAGTCACTGCGAATGTTCATGCATGCCTATGGCAAATAATTAGCGTTTACTAAAAGATAACCGGATCCGTTAAAAATACACTGCCTTTCTATTACGAAATCTCTTACCTTTCTTTCTTGGGTTTACTTCTTGGTTTGTGGGTAATCAATGATGATGTCTTTCTCTCATGGGAGTGGTGATGAGACGACGGTTTCCTGTATGGAAGCACAGAAAGAAACGCCTCCTTCCTACGCCTGCTGACTCTAGTCTTCCTGCTGACGAGTTTGGTGTTGGAGTGGTCGTACACGACGGCTGTTGCCTTAATGTAGGCATCCAACTGTTGAATGGTCTTTTGCGGCATCTTGGTATATCGGATTGACTGTGAAGAAAGGTGATAAGATTCACTCACAGACACAGAAAGGAAAAACAACTCGAAGACATGTACTGCTATTCAATGCCCTACTGCGAGCGATTGTGTATAAATCAGCTACCCCCCCCCCCCCCCCCCCCCCCATAATGTTTACATTAACAGCCAGGCTGCAGATGCGCACACTTCTCGTTTTGGTAATCAACCCTGGCAAGGTAGCACAGACTACACCCGACCTTCTCGTTTTTCAACTGGTTTGCACATGACGAGGCAGGACACCAGATCCTGGTTTTTGTCTTTGGGGGTTTTCGAAACCACGGATTTGTCTCCAGCTGCGGCTTTGTCTCTCACTAATTGAGAATCGTTTTTGGAGCTTATAGTATCAAAACTCTTTGGAAATGTTAAGAATATTGGCTAAGCATATTATAAAAATTAATGTTGCTGAAGCAAAACAAGGGCCTGTACGGAGCCGGATTGCCCTAAGTCAGGGGCCTCGATAGTTCGAACTTTCCCGAAGCAAAAAAACTGAACCGAGCAGTGCACAGGAAACCCACTTATACTTGGCTTTATCTAGCCAAGGCGACATCAGACTTTGTAAACTATCGCATTAAATCTGTAAACACTTCAATTTTGGACCTTTGGAACATGGCGTCAATAATTAAGCGCCAATGAAGAATATTGGCATTGTGAGAACGCGAATGATGCTTATACATGGACAACAACCAGTTATAACCAAGCATTAACCAGAAACTATACCCCAATTTGTGGGAAAAGCCGTTAATATATAAAACCCGGCAACCAAAATTTGGAAACCAAATCATTTTAATATAAACTCCGTAGATCAGCGCATTTTGAACTTATTATCACTAACTGATGGCTTTGCGTAGTTCTGATTTGAATCACCTTAGGAATCTATATAGTTCTGAGTCATTCAAATTAGTCCATATGTTCGCATACCACTTACAGCGAAACTTTTGGCATGGCATTACTTTGGGACTAAAGAGAATTGAATGCCTTGTTAGGCCAAAAAAAATATTCGGTCTCTGGTCAGACCAAAGTTCCGGAATTGACGCGGCCACGTGGCTTTTTTTTTTTTTTCCCCCCTTCAAGCTTGGATTGTACAGACAAGGTGGGGTACTATTTTGCTTTTTTGGTGTCCTCATGTACATTGGTGTCCTCCATAATTTGCCTTGGTGCTTTCGATCATTTGCCTCAGTGCAATTGCCCATTCCTTGGGGCTCTTTGGTAAAAAAAAATGAGGAGTTGCGGAAATAGAGGGCGCTGTTGGAGCTACCGCGGAACATTTTGAAGAAAAAAAAGATAAAAGATCGACCAATTTAGTATAGGCAACATATCCGCTGAAGCGGTAAATGAGGTTCATTTAAAGATCATCCGTGCGGCTGTTTGCAGACATTTATTGAAAATGTCGTGAGATATGCATAGGCGTAGCCAGTATAGGAGGGGAAGAGGGGTAAGGGGTGGGGTTATTTACCCCCTCCAATTATATGTTGTAAAGACTGTGCCTTTTACCGTTGTATAGGTTGAACGTTCACAGTCCTCATCTAGGCATGCGCTAATTACAGTGAGTCAGTATTATACAAATACAGCATGGTGTGAGGGGAAGTAGTGGGAATTACTGGTCCCGAGGTGTAGGTCAGCTTGACTACCTCCCGACACGAAGCAGAGGGAGGTAGTCAAGATGACCTACACCGAGGGACCAGTAATTCCAAGTACTTTCCAGAAAAAAAACCATGCTGTATTTTGTTTTACTACACCTCATAAATATTTAGCAGCCTCCCTGTCTTTTTAGTAGCCTCACCGCCATGTCGATAACGGCCTTCGTAGAATTTGCATCTTTATTAAGCACAATTCAAGTTCTTTGTCATAGGCCATGAAGTAGTCTGGTGCCAACCCTCTTTAATGTTTTTTTTTTTTACTTCAGTAATAACAATGATAACAACAACAGACTGGTTCTGTAAAGATTACAAGCCATAGACTACATGTCTACAAGGCGGGTTCCAGAGGGACTTTTTGGTGCTACCAGAAAAAACTACCGCACGGCAGCGAGCTGGATACTCACCGGGATGACGTCACCTGGGCGCGTATCATTTTTACTTCCCGGATGCGCGGCGGAAACGGCCAATGACACGCTCCAATTTGATCATGCATATTTATGAGGTGTAGTAATTGTATATTACTACACCTCATTTGATCATGAATATTTATGAGGTTCAGTAATTGTAGAAATTGTAAAGTGGAAAGATCACTCGGTGAGCTGAGCTGACACCCTCGCGCGGCCCCACGTACGCGCATTTTACTTCGGGTTGCCATTTCACCTAAATATTATTGCAGAATGATTTCTAACTATGACCTCCCCTACAAACACTCACGTTGAAATTGTATCTTGGTATTTTTGAGTAAAATTGAGGATACTTGGAAATGAGTGAATTTGAATTTCGTTTTCGACCTTTTACATGGGTCATTCCATGTCAGAGCAACGCACTTTTTTACCTAAGGTCTTTCGATTTTTATAGAAATTGCTGTAATTGTAGGTCCTGATGAGCAATGCATGCCCACCAATTTTTAGCCGAATCCGACCTACCATTATGGTCAGGGCAGAAACCGAAAAAATGAACATTTTTAAGTTAACAATCACCCTTTGGGTAAAAATATATCATAACCATGTCAATTTTCATCAAATAAATGCAAATTTGGTATTAAAATAATGAGAATTGCACGCTCACCTCAAACCTTTTGTCAAAATTAAATTTTCTGAAAAGTAGGCCACCATGACCGTTAATATGTCACCGCAACGTTTGACCAAATGTTTGTAACATTGTATCATTCCAAAAATCAACGAAATTAAAAAAAAGACTTGATAGAGCATGTCATCAGAATCCACTAAAAAAAAAATTGGATACTACAAATCTTATGTTTTGTTTGGATGTAAAAATGTTAGGATATTTAATTTATGTCTTAGTTGATTTCAAAGCATGAAAAGAAGACAATAATCGTAAATACAGTTTTTGAAAGGAATTATCCCCGATGCCATAGGCATGCAGGTAGTCATTGTTTATTGTTGGAATCAGCGGCGCAGCTACGGGGGGGGGGGGGGGGGGCGCCTGCCCCCCCCCCCCAACAAAGTTCGCGCCCCCCTAGTCACACCCCCACTAGAAATTTGGCATCCGGAGAAAATCACAGCCGTAAGAGTTTTCATGATTAGCTGGAAGAACATAAAATCCCATTTTCTGCGCTTGTGTGCGTATTTTTCACCAAACCCTGTCTTTTCGCGAGTGGCTGTTTATCTAAACGTCTGTGGAAAGCAAAAAGCGATAGTTTTTGTCTAACATTAAATATGAAATAGGTTTTGAACAGCGCCCCCCGGGAAGATGGTGTTTAACACCCCCCCCCCCTCCCTTAACCCGCTATTTGATTTTACGGAGGTCGGGTGGGCGCCCCTCCATTGTAACCTCAAGCCCAGGCGCGGTTCTAGAGCCAATAATATTGGGGGGGGGGGCTAGCAGGGATGGGATCCAGAATTTTTTTCAGGTAGGCGTGCTGAAATGTTGACCGGTTATTTTCTCCGGACAGTGGGGGCGGACACTTAGGCCTCCGAAAATCAATAATGGGTCGGGGGGGGGGGGCCTCGTGCCATATTTTCAATGGTGAGCGCTGATAAAATCCTACAATCAGGCACACTATATTAACTCAATTGTAAAAAATGCACCCTTCTCACGACTATTTATTTTTATGGATTTTTTTTAAGGGGGGATAGACACAATTTTTTTTGGGGGGGGGGGGGGCTAAAGGGGGGGGGGGCTAGGGGGCTTTTGCCCCCCCCCCCGGATGAGAACCCTGGCTACGCCACTGGTTGGAACGCTTTGCCACGGCCCTAACTGGTGTAGACCGGTTTGTATAGTACTCGGGGCGTAAACCAGACTTTGTTCTATTCGTTACCATAACAACCGGTGACTGCACGCACAGAGTTCAGTGTGTGAGGATGACTCTACAGTGGTGTGATTTGACGTAAACACTCATTAAACCATAATAAATATGCTTATCTTTTATTTTATCTCAAAAATGAATTATTCCTGCGTCAGAATCAACAAATAGATCAAGTAGTGGGTTAATTGGTGATACTGCGTTCTCAACGTGTGCGGTCATCATCAAGATTGTTAGTCGGTCAATAGAGCCTAAAAGTAAAAAGGTCACTCGGTGAGCTTCTGAAACCCTCGCGCGTCCCGTCTACGCGCATTTTACATCGGTTTACCCTTTCACCTGAAAACTATTGCAGAATGATTTCTGACTATGACCTCCCCTACAGACACGCACGTTGGAATTGAATCTTGGTATTCTTCGAGTAAAATTGAGATGCTTGGAAATGGGTGAAATTGACTTTCATTTGCGACCTCTTAAATCAGGCATTGTCGTTCGTAGGTCTCCCTGCCCTGGGCAGTTGTGTTTTCATATCGTCTACTTGCGTGGGAACGAGAATGCATAAAACGTTGAGAAAATGTACCAACCTACAGCCAATGGGTTCTAGATTAGCGGGGTTGGCTTGAGCAACTCTTGAGTGCAATCTGTAAACGGTCAGTTTTAGATTTTTTTTTTTAATGTCATCTAAGTCCTTTTATCAATTTTCTTGCATCTTAAACTCTTAAACGACATCTTAGTCTTGGTGGCATGTTCAGTTTCACCTAATGACCGCCACAAATTTCAAGATTTCTGCTCTACGTACACCGATGTTGGGGTATGCTTCCGTATGGTGCACACGTCCGCATGAAATTCGGACGTTAAAGGTCATTTTTGTTACGATATCTCTTTCGATTTATCAGTTTCCACAAAATGATATGGTAGTAACTATATTACAAAGAACCTTTTTTCGGATTTTCAGTGAACCTAAATAATTGAACTTTTACACGCTAATTTTCTTATTCAAGGTTCAGGACGCGCGTCACCAGGGGAGAACTTTCAGACTCTATAGCATTGCAAACCTTGGCGGTCTCCATGACAGTAGAGGGCGCCATCAAGTATTTACTGAATCAAATCCGGTCTTAGGAACTTTGGCAACGCTCCCCCCCCCCCCCCCCCCACAAAAAATATAATAATAACCAGGCATATTTCCCACTCACACAATTCAAATAAATAATTCACAATCCATCCGAAAAGAACCAGAAAGTCAATTTAAACAAAGTTATGAAGTCAGCCGTTTTGCAATATATATTCTGTTCATTTCAAGAAACAACCTTCCCCTTAAAATGGTGATTTGACAAATGACATTTTTCCAAGCCGCATCCGTCTAGTTGTATTTGCATCGTGTTGTATCGCTGTGATATGCATGATAAAAAAAAATCAGAAAATAAATTCAAATGACGAAGAATATCCTTTTAGACACTCGCAATGTAACTTGTTTTCAAAGGCATAGTTTTCTTACCTTTGACGGGCAGTGTATCTACGTTGAATGCAAGAATCCTTGCCTATCGAATAAATCCGTTGCAGGTTCCAGACGGTCTCGGTCCTGGCGGCTAAAACTTTTCCTAAGCTCCTGAAAAGGAATTATCTCCCGATGACATAGGCTCGCAGCTAGTCTGTGGTTATTGTTGGAATGCTTTGCCACGTACGTAACCAGTGCACACCGGATTTGAATTTTAGGGCGTAAAAACCGGACTTTGCTCGTCTCGTTACCGTAAGAACCAGCGATTGAACGCAGAGTCCTAGGTGTGACTGTTGACTCAACAGTGGTGCGAGTTCACGTAAATACTTGAAACCATGACCTTGTGGGTGATAAACGCCCGATTTATATAAAAAAAAAATAATGATTACTGTGTCAAAATCAATAGAAAGATCTATGGGTTAAGATGTAGGGCGTTCAACGTGTACTGTATAGATCGTATTCAAATGTATTGCCATCATCAAGTTTGTGGGTCTGCCATTTTTTTTATTATCGTTCCACGCATTATCACTTCCGTAGTAAAAAGTAGAATACGGAATTTACTTCTGTGTACGAAAGTAAATGCTGATAGTAATTTGCAACTTCGCAGCCATCGAGCCAATAAAATGCTGCTGTGTGTGTGTGGGGGGGGGGGGGGGGGGGGGATCGCCACACCTCCTCCACAACGAGTCTGTTCCCAGCATTGAATAATGCCGGTACCCATTTAACACCTGGGTTGAGAGCCTATTTTGAGGTAAAGCGCCTTACTCAAGGGCACAACACGCATGGCCACGGCGGGGCTCGAACCCACAACCTCACGATCATGAATCCTGTGCTCCACCACTAGACCACGCGTGCCCCAAACATTTTACTTTAAAAAGGGGGAACTGTGTTAATGAAAAAAAACAGTCTTAACAAAATATTACGGGGGTATATCTGCTGGTTGAAAAAAAGGGCACCTGTGTACGTGGAAAGGTACGCTTTATAAAATATTTAGGGTGGTAAATACCCCCTTACCCCCCCCCCCCCCGGCCCCCAATCGCCGCGCTGGCTGCGCCACTTGAGTTATGAAAATATTATCTCACAGTATATTTGCTATGAAAGCTACTTTAGCCCCACCCCACCCCACCCCACCCCACCCCCTCCCTTTGCTACGCCACTGAGAAGTCTAGACAAAAATAATATCAATCCGAACCCCCTCAAAAGTACAGAAAAAAGGAATGACAGGATGTTACACACGATAACTACATTGTTTATTCTCATAAAACAAACCAAACTATAGTGTCGAAAAAAATGATTCTGGGTATATAATTGATGATTTCTGAATTCTCTTCACATATTTTATGCGGAATAAGAAGTACTAATACAATCCTAGAATGGAAAATAATTAGCACAATGGCTCATTGAATATCTATACTCAATAATAAATACAATAGGGATGGACAATCAACATGTTGCATATGTTCAACAACAAAAAACACAACATGACATTCTATAAGGTTAGTTAAATAACAGGCAAACATCCCGCGATGAAACATTAACTTTGCGTCTCTGAAATGACTTATCTTCAATACAAGCTTAAAAAGTTGAGGCAGAATCATTTTATAAATTTTCACTAAATCTACGTGATCGGTCTATTATCAAGGCATATATTCACGACACACTCTACATCTTTGCGGAGATTTTCTGAAACTTCGACCTCACCTCCGGCTGCGGTTTCTGGAAATGAAAGTCAGCTTATTACTTGACATGGTGAACTCGAAATGAAACCGCAGCTGAAATGAAGCCGAAATTCCGAAACTGGTGCCAAATCTGTGAGCTTGCACGCTCTTGATTGAGCGGGAACCAGCGAAGTGCGTGTCGATACAAAATACCCGGATGCCTATGCAATAATGACAAAAACAAACTTTGCACAGTCATCCGGGTATTCTTTTTTTGCCATATGCGATATACATAGATGCATTTTTACTAAGTGCAAGCTTGTGAAAATATAATAAATAAAGAACTTTTTTTTCAACAATATTTGTACACTGCTGCCCATAAAACGGGCTTACTCTTAACACCATTACTTGGTAAATTGAATTCTCTGTGTAAAACAGAAACCATTGATTAGCATCTGTTATTGACAAGTCAATTAATGTCAATTCCAAATTCGAATATCTTCAAACAAACATAGTAACACGAATGTTCTTAAATAAATATCAACATTGCTATTTTTTTCATTACTTAAACATATGTTTGTACTCGCTCAGCGAAAAGTTATAAGAAGTACTTTTTTCATTACTTCAACATGTTTGTACTCGCTCTGCGAAAAATGATAAGAAGTATTAATAACTCAAGAATATCTCAACAAAAAATACTTTTCCGAATATTATTTTTTTGAAATGGAATAACTCGCTCAGCGAAAATTGATGATAAATAGAAACCGTACATGTTAAATAATATAGATTATCTCTAGAAAAAATAGTATACACTCAATATTTTGTTCATCAACATACTGTTCATATTTAGAATTAATGTATTGATGTTGTTTATATCAATAAATATTCATAAATAGTATAGTAAAAAAAATAAGAATTTAAATTGAATTCTAATTTACAGTCAATATTTTGTTCATCATCTTACTGTACAATATTTGGAATTACGTATCGATGTTGTTTATATCAATAAATATTCAGAAATAATATAGTGATAACCATAAGCAATATAAATTGAATTCTAAAGTCTTAACATTGATAACATCTTGAGGATTGTAAGCCATTGCATAAATAAAACGATTGTTGCTGTTTGGCAGAGAATAGTCTTTGAAGAATATAACAAATAAAATATTCTTCTGAAGTTTTCTTTGGTAAACATCCATAAAATATAGTCGATGACAGATCATTTATTCAAACTGTTTTAAACTGCAGCAATCATTAACACGCTTGTAAATCCTCGTTCACTGATTTGTAACTGTTGAGTTTTATAATGAACACCCTCGTTGCTAGGCAACCCTCTACATCACACGAGTCCGTAAACAAATGCGTTAAACTATCTTTGGATTGAGCGCAAAACTCTACAACGACTTTAAAAAGACTTCGGACAAAACCATAAACTCGTATAAAAATGTAAATCACCACAAACACACCTCGGCCAGTCTGTTCCGTGATGCTTGACAGAAATAGTAACGACAGGTTCGGAGTCTGAAAGAGAGCCTCGGTGTCAGTCCTGATGACGTCATTGTTTTCAGTGTACCTCGTGATTCACAAAACCTTTGGGCGAAGGCACGCACAGGCTACTGGGATGTCCTGGTACACGTTATGGTACCTGTTGGGAAACAACATAGATTTCAAATTAGAAGTGTCGAAGCAATAGCAGGAGTTTTTAAAATAGGACCGTTTAGGCTGGCGTGGCGGTGCTTTCTTCGCCTTCCACCGCTGTGACCCGGGCTCGATTCCCACCTGGGCCAATATGTGGATTGGGTTTTCAGTCCCTACCTGATTCCGTGGGTTTTCCCAGTATATTCCTCTGGGTTTTCCTCCCACTTGTAAAAGTTTCATTACTTTACGTGAAGAGATTATTTTGAAAACGCGATATATCCATTTGAAAAAAGGGTGGCACCCCCACAGTTGCAGGGTTTTGAAACTTTAAAGAATAACAACAGTATAACTGCTGTTTCATAACTGATTTTGTTATTGCTTTATTGTACTCTTAAGTTATGTTTAAATATATATAACAGCCGTCGAAATTGACTTTGGGGAGAGATTGGGATTCTAATAAGAACCAAAATGGGGTAATTGCGTTTTCGGAAATGAACTCTTCACATTGTCTTCTCTTACACTGGGCCCATGGGTGACCAGTGGATTCCAATGAATGGGCTACTTAGTTAAAATAAGGATTAAATAGGAAGAAATAAAAGTACCGCTCTTTAATATCCACGTAGGCGCCATGACGGTGCCATCGACATCATGGCGCATGCGCAACACCGTGTGGGAGGGCAGATCCAAAAATCATAGGGGAGGGAGTTTTTTTTAGCATCCCATCCGCCGGTCAGCGTTCGTGCTGGAATCACGGGGAGGGTTATTAAGAGCCGATCGAGCAAAACCAAGGGGCGGAGTTTTTTTGCCACTCCCCGCTCAATAATCTTGGTGACTTACATGTACATTCCGTTGACGCACGGCCCGCGGCGCAGCACCTTCATGCGAAACAAGACTTGATGACAGTCGTTCTCGTTGGAGAAAGCGCCCTCTTGCGCCAGGGATGTGTCAATGCATCTGGGACAACGGCACTTGGCGATCTGAATCGTGCTCGGATAACTGTGAGAAATGTAAAAGAAAAAAAAAAGGTCTCTCATGAATCTAAAAGGACATGGACATTTGGTGGTTATTCATTAATAGTGGTGGTTTTTTTTTTTAAGGAATACGAGTTTCTAATAGTACTGCAATCTCTAAATCGAGTAGGTATGTTTCCCATTGATACTGTTCGCCTTCTGAACAGTGGAATTTGGAAACAGCAAAACAAAACTCATTATTATATTATCATCTGCACAGCCTTTGACCATTGAAACAAACTGCCCATGTGGGGTAATACTACAATTGAAATGTTTACGTAAGGGGCGAAGGGCAAAACAAACACTAAAATTTCCTGCCGCAAAATTCCGTCGTTCAAGATTTCCAAAAAGACTGCTTAGTTCACACGTTTCACTTAGTACAAAAAATTGCTCTTCATGGGAAAAAAGAAGATACTCAGATAACATTGAAGCCTTCTGCTTTTTAATGGTCTATGTTTTTGAATTTTCTTGATGAGATTTCACTTACCGGTCAGGGTCGACATCAGCAACATACGTCCATGGGCACAAACTCCTCTTGTTGACGTCATCAATGCCGCTGACGTGGAGCAACTCCGTTGGGCAGGTCAAATTTACATACTCCTCCACGGGCGGAGCCACCACTGGCCCCGCCTCCTGGTGTGGGGCGACCTCTTGCGGCAGGATGGCGAGCGCGGGAAACTTCAGGTGCTGGTTGTTGCGCTTGAAGTTCAGCCGCAGCTGGTGCTCGGGCGGCTCCTGGCACAGCGTCACGTGGGGTTCCGGCTGAGTTTGGCTGGTATCCGCGCCGCTGCTGCAGTTCTCGCGAGGTGTCGCCGAGCTGTTTCTGGTAAGCGAAGCTGATGACGTCACAGCTTCGGTTGATGACGTCACAGCTTCGGTTGATGACGTCACAGCTTCGGTTGATGACGTCACAGCTTCGGTTGATGACGTCACAGCTTCGGTTGATGACGTCACAGCTTCGGTTGATGACGTCACAGCCTCGATTGATGACGTCACAGCTTCAGTTTGAGAAGTTGTGAATGTCTCATGAGATGTTGTAGGTATGTTTGTTGGTGTTGTGGATGCGACTGTTGAAGTTGTGGTCGAGTCCACAGTCGTTGCTTCAGTTGAGTGGATATCCACATCCTCGTCTTGGATTTGTGAGTCAAAAAAGCCGAGCTGACTATCACCTTCCTCCTCGTAATCTATGGGAAATGCCCCTGGAATGTTATTGACCTCTGAACTCTCCGAAGACTCCCAGAGGACTGGCAGCTGATTGGGGGCGTCGGTCACCTGACCCAAAGCTGGGTCACTAGTCCTAGAGGTCATGACCTCGAGTGGCCTCGTTCTCATAGTAACGGAGGTGGTCTCTTCAGGTGGTGCGTCCCGACGAATGACGAGACTCCTTGACGATGACAGCATGGAAAGGACGAGTAGAATTGTGGCGACATTGCACTGTAAAATAAAACACATTTCAGTAATATATAATAACTGTTTTTGTGTTATTAAGGGGGTTGATTAAGAAATAATTCCTATACTCTTTCCTATGTCCGTCGTATGAGGTTTTGAATACAGGAAGCGCACAACATAGGCCTAAGTGCAGTTTCACTAAAGCAATTTTCCAAACTTCGGCCTATTTTCCGGTTTGGTTACATCTGCTGAAACCGTACCGTAAACTTTGTCCATACTTTCACGTCGATGAAGTGAACGTTGGACACAATACTTAACCGAGGCTTCCTCTTCCGGGATCAAAATCACGAAATAGGAGCCTGAGGCCTCAACTGCAAAGGGAACCGAAGTTTCACAAAAGGGAACCGAAATCATTCTTTTTTTCCCGGCCGCCCATTGATTTTCACGGACCAGGAAGACCAATGGCTGTCAGGCATTAAAATATCTTGAATTTGAAAACTACTTATTTTTTTTGAGGTTTTTTAATTGAGTCTTTAATAAACTGGGGACAGAATCTCATTACTTTTTACCCTCTCTGTATTGACGTCATTACAAAATCCCGGATTGATCATAAAACATTATACGCTCATGAAGCGTGGCTTTTTCATAAAGGCCTATAAAAAAAAGATGTTATTTTTAGATGTCTTTATAAACTCTCGTTTATTAGTTGATTTCATCAAGGATTTTCTTCCTGTGGGCCATTGTGCTTGATGCTAAACATAGACTAGGCCTATAGTTCTTGACGTATCTTCTGGCCTTGATGCCTGTGCGCAGTCTATTGTTGTGAGAATATATCTCTTTATATAGCATTTGGCTACGTGCTCCTGTGGTTAACTTTTTCAGGAAGTTCCGCATAGATATATATTTTGTGTAATCATCGGTGCTTTTTATACTCAAGTTCATCGCACCCTGGGATTTTGTCGTGCCACACTCCGCAGAAAATATCACGAATCTCGTGAGAACGTCCTGATTATTGAGAAAGTCACGTGTATTTCCCGATCGCGTAATTTTTATTCCTAGGAGAGTTAGGAGCAATGTCATGAATAATTCATGTTTATCCATGAGAACGGATAATGTCATCAACAGCATTGTTGTTAGTTACTCAACTAGTTACAATACATTAAAGCATTTTAAAGAACGGTTGTCGTCGAGCTACCACACAGTAGCCTAGTGGATAGCGAGATGAGCTATGGATACAAAGATCCCTGGTTCGAATCCACGTCGTCGCTGCTCATTAGCATCAGCTATTTTTCTTCTCCAAATTTATCACTGAGATAATTTTAAATTAAGGGGAAAATGGAACGAGAACCTAAGTCTTGCAATGATTCAAAGGAAAAACTGAATTATTCATGACATTGCCCCTAACCCTCCTAGGAAAAAAAAATTACGCTTCCCGATCCCTGCCTTGTCTCTGCGCATGCGCCTGACCAATGAGCTCAGTCAAACCAGCAACACCATATATAGCAAAGTCGTTCCCGAAGGCAAAGTTTTGTGCAACCGACCCAATATTGAATTTACACCCCCTCCCCCACCCCCGACGCAGATTTCATCTTATGAATGTGAGAGTTCCAACAAAGTTTACCGATACTTATATTTTCTTTTGGTTCAATGCGAGAACACAATTTTTGAATGTTTGGATGAACGTGGCTACATACTGATAAATAATATTTATCAGTTTGTAGCTATAATGTAGTACGTGCATCCAAACATTCAAATATTGTATTATATTATGACCTTGTTTCAAATCAATACATTTTAAAGTGGGCTTGTTTTACATTTCTGATATTCTGACCGCATTGGAGGTTGTGAACATTCTTAAGATTCTGAGATTTGGAAACTTCTCAATTAAAAGGAGTGCGTCGAATGAACAACACGAATAGCCTTTGAGCTATAAAATACATAGCTCCATGGTATAACCATGCTACATTATTGTTATTATTGGGACAAGCATGCAAGCGTGTTGTTGCAGATTCAAAAAGAAAAGACAACTCTCAATTTTTTACATCGCATGTACATTCCATAAAAATAGAATGACTTGGCAGGTACTCGGCATGACGTCACGGCATGACGTCACTGTTTTAAGTATTGGCTTTCCGGACTTTCCCTTCTTGAGTGGACTCGGCCTGTGGAGGTTTTGCGGGTGAACTCCCGGTTCGTTCACGGGTGGCCACGCGGTGGTTTTTGTCATAAGCACGAGACCGCTGGCCTGAATAGGGGATTGACCTTCCGAGAGTCCGGCCATGCGGACGCAATGAGAGGTCATTTAGACGACCAATTGAAAGGGGTGTGGTGAAAGTGGTTCGAATTATTGACTTGGTCTTGTAACCTTTTAAGAAACAGAACAATACAATCGTAACGAAAATCACGACAGAAAACCGGGCAGAAATCTATTGAAAAGTGCTTCAAATTAATTCATTAGGCTGTTTCAGAATATGCCTAATTGTAATTGTGACATTTTTTTTTAATTTTTGATTGACTTTTTATTCTATTTCTTGATCAAATTATCGAGCTTGACTTTGCCCCAACGTTGATGTAAGCAAATGAATTATTATAGGGACTCGGCACATTTTGAAGAGAATTTAAATCAATTTCTCCATGACTAAAAAAAAAAGTTGCTCTCTGAAGACTGAACTAGAACCCTGGAATTTCTGGGGCTTTAATAAGAAAGGTTTCCATACGTTCACAGGCAAGCTATGCTTTTAGTTTGCTCGGTCACCCGGCCATTGAAAAGAGACCCCCACGCATATTAGGATTAGTGCGGATATGAATATGAATGGAGTGACGTCTTCCTCGTACGTCACAACTCCAGCCGGGAAAGTTCGGGGCTTTCCCTCCACACACGAGTTCCACTGTGCGTGAGCACTGAAGCATGGCACTCGCTAGCGAGTACAGCATCGAACGCTCAACGTGTGCAGTACATGTGCGGTTCAAAGGTCGTAGCTGTTTATGATCGCCATGTACCAGCTGAAACTGCGTGGTGCGTAAAATAGTGTTCGTATTAAACTGTGTATACCTTCCTAAGTCCGAGCCCTGGAAAACTGTCTGTTGGTTTTCTGTTGCATGGACGTGACAACACCCTTTAAGGATCTTTGGTATTTAAGGGACACTTCTTTAGTTTGTTAATTTTCCACCTCGATCGTCTATCGGCAAGTCTGGATGAAGTCATGGGCAGTTCCGTCTGTTTTTCATTTTCGTTTGCTGCAAAAGTTTCCGACATAAATGGATTTGAAGGGTTAGTATGTTATAGCAAATATTGTTAAACTGGCTTGTTTCACGTTTTGGGCTTGCAGATGCTGGAAAAACCAAGAAAACCAATCATGTTCTTGTAGTCTGGTTTCCTGACCCCACTTAAGATGAAACGGAGCAGTTTTAGACTTTGGGGAATTATAAGGTCGGGGAATCAGTCTAGCAGGCTTGTTCTCCTTCACAGGTGTGCAATCAATTGCAAAGAAAATGCGAAATTACTAAACATGAAATTTAGAAGCAGCTTTTGAAAAAAAGCAAGTTTTTCTCCAATGCTGGTCGGCCGACCAGCGTTGGAAAAATACTTCAAGTTTTCTTGAAAATGTTAGCACACCAGGAGCCACGATTTTACATGATGCTTTAGACTGTCAATCCCTAACAATCCAGTAAGGTATGTCGTGATAGCTTGGTCATTTCGTTTTTTTGATGTTTGCAAATGTCGTATCTTCCCTTTAACAGGGGTGGATCTAGGAAACGGGTTGTTGTTGTAAACGGGTGCAGTTGCAGGGGGGGGGGGCGTGCGGAAGGCACGCCCTGCTGGGGGGGGGGGGGGGTCGGGGGCATCTACGATGCTCTCTCCTGCATTCTAAGGCAATTCAAGAGTACATTTAGAAACTGCAGCTTACGCGTTGCATTTATTCTACTAGTATCATAACATATAGTCGGAGGCTGAACGGGCGTTGCATCCCCCGGATCCGCTTCTACGTAAGGACTTCGTAAGATACTTTACGAGACATTCCAAGGTGTTGACTAAGTAATAAGGAAGAGCTCGCTGATTTATTTCAATCCTGTAACTGAGTTACTCGTACCAGAAGGAAATCACACACGTACCCTTCTTATATTTTTTTTCAAGAACAAAAAAGAATGTTTTTTTTTTTTATAAGCTGAAGAGATTCAATGCATCATTCATTATTTTCCATTGCTTCCATTAGATCAGATTGTGAACTCAATGTTTTCGGAAGACACAATTAATATGAATTCGAGTGCGATCAGAATTGTTAGTTTTTATTTGATTATGTTTTTTTTTCCCAATGGATTTCCAGTAAAACGAAGTGGACTGATTGGTGTAGAAAAGTTAAAATATATAATATGTTGCATCATTCTGTCACCTAAGCCATTCTGGTTCGGGGATTATTATGAGACCCATATCATTGGGTAATGCACGTTTTGGTGATACTGATAGACTCCGATTGCTGAGTTTTTTTTATGGTTGTCGCTCCAGTCCCCTGCCCCCCCCCCCCTCACCATACCCCCACCCAAACCTAGGGCCTATCGATACTGAAGTTAGATTTGAACGATTTAATTTTTGAGGAGGAATGATTTCATTTGAGACTTTCTCATTCCCAAGTTGAACAAAAAGCCTTGTGATGTTGATAATAATGTTTATTTTGCATGAAGTAACATTAATTCGTTCAACGACTAAAATAAGAAGTGTAATGATAAAAAAAATGTTTAAAAATAAAATAAAAAGGACGACAGTAGCGGACCGAAGAGAGGGGCTGGGTGTTGCACCCCCCCCTTTCCGTCCACCCATTTTTCAAACTACGGCTTCGCCTGCAATGCGGCTTTCAAGTCCAGCTTCTTGATGATGTTATACACTCCTGAATTTAGAGAAGTCCCCATCTCAATGAAGGTCAAATTACTGTTAAAGACTAATTTGGTGCAAACATGGAGGTAGGGTGCGAACATAAAAACAAACTCAAAGAGCATAGCCTAAGCGGTTCTGGAGCCAGGTTAAAAAGCCATGGTTTCAGAAACGGCGCAGAAGTTCGTAAAGCTTACCAGTGGAGACATGGCTATCACGAAGCTGGCAGATATACTCGGAGATACTCCTTTTAGGTGATTGATGAAACACCTGTTGCTCCTGAACCGATGATGCGGACTGAATGATTCAATCCGGAGTCATCCCGGTGTTTTATACCCCATCCGGCCCAACTTTGTTCCCCTATGCCCAGACCCAATACCCAGGTGTTCCCCCATAAACCCCTTTTCCTTTTCACCCCTGGGATTTCGCAAGTGGACATCTTCTTTCCACTCCATCAGGGGATTCCCGCACTTAGACTATTTTTGGACAAGTGACGCAATTAATGGTAAAACTACCCGGAGCCGGTTTTTTTCCCCTGCCTGATGCACTTTCCACGCGTGTTTTACGAACCATTCCACGCGCCACGGAGCAGGAGGAAAATGTTAAGTCACGACATGAGTCATCACACGGCTTTCCCCGTTTCCCTTTCGAACCCCATAAGTTCCTCTCTACCAACACTTCAAAACTTCGATGAATGGCAACGCTACTGTTACTCCAGACCACACACGGTGCACGCTAACCCGTAAACTTCACAGTCTCTGTCATGCAAAGTTCCCCTTGTGTTCAGTTCACTGAAGCGTGGAGTGGAACTCCCAACGACAGAAAGTCTCCAATTTATGAATATTCATCACCTCGTTTACATTTTCCATCGCGTTCTAGTTTGGACTTGAAAGGTTTGTTTGAGAGCGGGAAGTACCGAAGGGGTTTGTGCTGAATTCTCCCGTCAAGAAGAGTGAACGGATATGGTTAGGATATCTGCACACACAAAACAAAAGGGGAGAATTAATGTATTTCTCCAATACGGATTGCATTGGAAATTAAGTTGGTTAGTATATTAATGCCCTCGGTTTGTTTTTGTACTCGCCGTTTTCAGGTCCTCCTGTTACATCATTTAGAAGCGGAAACTCCGACGAAGGAGAATGAATGTATTCCTCCAATACGGAGTGAGGAAATTTGGTTTTCTTTGGTTTTTGTTCTCGGCATTTTCAGGTCTTCTGTTACAGGACATGCAAGCAGGAACTCTTAACACGTGCCCCTGACGAAGTCTGTGGGCTTTTGACACAGACATGTCTTGTGATGATCACATGACACAGACAATTTCACTTCGTTCCTCAAACGCAAGGCTGATGCCACTGACTCGGTGCGGGTTTCGTAACTTTTACTTCAAACATAGCTTGAAGCGACCGCGGGCTAGGCTTATCTGGGTCTCATATTTCAAATACTGCATTTACCTGTCTTTAAAACAAATTCACATTAATTAGCGCCTTGAGTGACTAATTGTTGGTAGATAAGTGCGCTATGTAAGACCCCGGTATTATTATTTTTATAATCACTTTGACTTTAACCACACACATCTAACCCATGAAAACAAACGGAACATGGTAAGGGCTGTTCTGATAAATTATGATCTTTGAAAACAAAGTGCTTCGTGGGTAATTAAAGCGGTTTAACTTAAAGTGACTGACACAAATGGACATTTCTGATGCCAACTGGCTCTTCTTGTAAAAAAATATATGTCTTGTCATAGGCTCAGCATTTTTTTAACGAAAGGGTCTTTGTAGATTTTTTTTCTAACGAACAAATTAATTTTCAGGATGGAATATTGCTTTTAGATCTGTCAATTATATTCACATTAGACGTCGTGTTTCATTTTTCAGACGCCCCTGTTCACTTTTTCAAACGTCTCAGTTCACTTTTTAAACTTCCTATAATTTAATGAATGTGTTCTAACGTCTCGGTTCACTTTCTAAACGTCATATAGGAACGTTTTCAAACGCCTCGTTTCACTTTCTAAGCGTCCTATATGAACGTGTTTACACGTCTCGGTTCACTTTCTAAACGTCTTATGGCAACTTTTTTCTAACGTCTGGTTCCCATTTCATCCGTCCAGCCTCAAATTTATGTTTTAAATTAAAAAAAACAGCTTGCAAGACCAGACGAACTGGAAAATAAAATGAAAACTTCTTTCGGGAAAGTTTGTAGAATCGTGATCGCATGACACCTTTTTTTTTGGAATACTTTTTTTCCTCCTGAAAATGTGTAAGTGCCAAGTACGAGAAACTGTTGATATGCGAATAGTTATGATACGATTCTGTCGATGCTGTCATCTCGGGTGGGGGGACTGGAGAGGGAGATCCTGGTTATAGAAGTGGAAGAAGATGTTGACTAAACCTACCTCCTAGTTCCTGGATCTGTTATTTGAGATGAGAAAGAAAGCGGATCAGTATTGGACGCTTTGAATGTGCAGGTCGAAAGGAAAGACATTCCATTCAATCATTATTTTGAGTCCGTGCTACATATTTTAACAGGGGGATTTCAAAGTCTGGATCCTAGTGGAGAGAAAATGAATACACTTTTTGCTTTCGTTTTGCTTTCAAATTTGGTTTAACCCTAAAGGAGCCGGGTTATTGTGACACTCACAGCCCCCCCCCCCCCCCCCCCAGATCTCGGTGCAAGCGCAGCACAACTTAATAGAAATATACGCAAGAAATTTCATGACTATAGGTTAAAGGGTTTTTGGAATTATGGCTTATTATGTACCAATGGTAATTCTGCTTTGTGTACACTACACGATGGGGAATTCAGTGTTCACGAACAAAATTTCACTGAGCGACCAGTCGGAATTTTATGCTTTTGGTATCAAAAGATGCGCAAGACTCGAGGCTAAAACGTCAGGAAAGCTCGGGTCGGGAAAATGTTTGCAAGGGTATCGGGGAAAAAGGTTTTTTTTTTTTGGGGGGGGGATTCCGCCCCGGCCCTTTTAGGGTTAAACAGTTATAATATGCGGCCAAAGAATTGCGGTCTTCGATAACGTGAGGGGACGGTTTGAGAGGGGGAATTTTAGATGGAAATTAACTTTCGGGGAAACCTTCCTGGAAAAGTACCAGTGCCAAGCGACCAATACACATTCCGATCTTCACATGTGGCGTGCAATTAATAGAATTATTAGCGATTAAAACGAAGGTAATGCCTATTGTTCATGTTTCATGGGGGAGTAATACAAATTCATGATCACGAAGTGATCACATGAACAAAAATTTACAAGGAAGTTGTTGGTTGGGAAATAGACCGTGAAGCCAGCTATAGAAAGTACGTGAAACAGTAAAAAGCAACAGCAAACCACCACCAACGCACATTACCATATGAATAGCAGAGTCCGGGAGCCGTCCGTTCATTCATGTTTACTGCCGCGTTTGTCAAAACTCGGCTTCGTCTCCGCATTCGGCTGCTTCGGCATGATTTCATCTTCGGCTCCCGAATCCAAGCCCAAAAGACTTATAGCGTATCCAGGTTTTGGACTCCGAGCGCGAGCAAGCGCGGTTCTAGAGCCAATATTTCTGGGGGGCTAGCAGGGTGGATCTAGAACTTTTGGCAGGGAGGCGTGCTTAAATGTAGACCAGTTATTTTCTCTGGACACTTAGGCCTCCGAAACTCAATAGGGGGTGGGGGGGGGGGTGGCGCTGATAAAATCCTACAATCAGGCACATTATATTAACTAATATAAAATGCACCCTTCTGACGACTATTTATTTAGGGGAGGCCCGTTCGCATGTACGTCACATTCTTACATTTGCTAGTGAATGGTTTTTTTTATGGAATTTGTTTGGGGCGGCTAACTGCCCCCCCCCCCCCCCCCGTAGAACAGCCACTGGCTCTGAGGGAAGAGGGACAACATTGTGGTGGCCCTAAAGGGACATCACACATCGACATTTCTGCACAAATTTCTGACATGTCGCACATTTTTATCGCAGATTTCTGCCATATCGCATATTTTATTGCAGATTTATGTTTCAATTTCTGAGAAAAAAATTCCCCCTGGTTAAAAGCTAATTAGAGGAGGAGCCTCTGCCAGTTGCGGTTGAGAAGGTCACGCTAGCCAGTGGCAAATCTGCGGGGAGTTAGGGGGTCCAAACCGCCATCTTGGTAAGCAAAGAAAAATTTAAAAAAATCATTAAAAAGTACGGACAAATAGAAATGTCTGCAAACCCCTCCTCCTCTGAGTAGCTAATCCCTCCTCTTGATCCAAACCTGGTTCCGCCCCCAAAATTGTGTAAAGACCTCCGTCGTGAGAGCTCTCTCCTCTGCCCCTGTTTATTACCCCTGCTCATCAGGCAATGAGACCACTTTATGTAGCAGCTGGAGATCAGTGTATTTTTTGTCTCTACCCATTTTGTACCCCTGGGTGGAGAGAAAATTGTAATAAAGTGTCTCGCCTAAGAGCACAAGCCCTATGTTCCCCGTTTTACATGAGTCGAATTCTAGCACCTTCCTCATCACTTCTTTGCTTTCGATTTATCTTTGTTATTTACTTGTATGTTTTATGTTTATTTGTGGTCATTATGGAAATTATGAAATAAAACTGAATTGAAATAATTTGAACTGTAACCATTGGACCACAGCTTCCCAGTGAATATGTAAATTTTAAAAAAAGAAAGAGTAAATTCCACCTTCAAGCTATCTTTAAAAATTTCTTCTTGACTAACATCGGATGGACAAATTGAGCCTTATCATCAAATATTTCATAATTTGATCAAAAAAATCATTAATAGTTGGCGCATTTAACCTATCAAGCCAAAGAATGGCACAGATTCACGCAACAATACGAAGAAGATTTATGGACGAAAAACGTTTTTTTTTTGCAGCACAATTTTATTCTCCTCATTATACAATGCAGAACAATAACATTTTCACAACCTGTCCTTTGGCTGCATTATTTCATTAAAAATACTCTTTATTATTTATATTTTCGCAAAACCCACCGAGGAATAAGTCCATAAATTATTAGGCTAGTACTTTCGTGAATAGTTTTGGACATAAATAAGTATCAAATGAAGCTATGTTGCAAATACCACGCACAAAATTGCGTATACTAGTTAGTTAGGCTTTGTATATTTACTTATAGCTGATATATTTAATAACTTAAATAATATTTGAGGTATTCCTAACTTTCATAAAATGGGAATTGTTCAAATTATAAGAAATGTACAAAGTTTGCGGTATTTTTTTCAATTTATAAACGAATTTGAAATATATATATATATATAGAAATAGTTATCTTATACAAACTAAATTTTACATAATTTGCTACTAGCAAACACGGTAACAAGCACGTGACACGGTCACTACTGCGTTTTCAAGCCAAAAAAAAATCGGCTGAAAATATCATTTTGCGCACGCAAATACTGTTTTAGTCTTAGGCATTTTAAAGGGAAAATACAACATTTGCAAACATCAAAAAATAAAACTACCAAATCAGCTCCACTCACTTTGTTTTCTACATTTTGTAATCGTTGTACCTGTATATTTAGTATCTACGTACCCTACGGTTGTGTTAGTTAGTTCTGCGTGTTTGAGGAACTACATTGGAATACTTTTTAAAACAGAGTTAAGGGGATATAGTTGAACATGTAGATAATGGCAGGTTCGTTTGCACAAAATGTGCCAAAATCTGTCCGTTTATAATCTTCTCAGTTCGAAAAGAGGAAGCCTTTCTTAATGTTTGTTTACTGCTGTCTTCTGTTTATCTTCTGTATATTTGTTTACATTTTAATTTTCTGTTCGTCAGTCGTTTTGTTGCTTTGTCGTTTCTGATCGGTTTGCATTCCCACCCGCGCGTTCATCATGCGCGCATTATTACCTACTGTATTGGCTTCGTGCACGTTCAAGAGAGGGCGCTTTAAAGAAAAATACAATTTCAAAAGGTCCGTGGACGGGGCTCAACGTCTGCGCGGAACGGCTACCGTTCGCGCGCAAAGCATGAACCAATTATGCAAGACTTATTGTGAATTGACATCAAGCCACAGCCATTGATCTCCACAGTGGATACCAATGGCCACAGCGCCCTCACGTGAGCGTCCCTGTCTCCCTTCCTGTGATCTCCCTTCGCTCGTACCCCCGCCCTGCAAACAGGACGCTGGGATATTCTGATGAATTCACACTCTGATTGGTTGGATTTTGCGTGGCCAGTGACCTGCACGTCATCAAGGTCATGACTCTGCAAGGTTTGAAACGGCCGTTAAGACTGATTCATTACTCTTTTATTCCAGTTTAGAGATGTTTTTTCTCGTTGAAAAGCGCCATAATTCTGTAAAACTTCTCTGTGTTGTTAATTTACAATTCCCGTCACTCACTCAGGCTCCGTTTCGAATCACGAACGGCCGGATTGCATTATGCAACGCTCAAAATTTTGTCCACATGGTCCGCAATGAAACAGAAATCACATCCGGTATGGAATGTACGCAATTCTATGGGACGTTTTCGGATAGCATTTGCGCACATTGTCTAACTGCGGTTTTGAACAGCTGCAGCCAGATGCTTTAAACATAGGTCATAGGCCACTTCCTTCACACGATTTGTGAAGCTTATCAGAGTATCCCAGCGTCCTGTTTGCAGGGCGGGGGATACGAGCAAATGATCTCCCCCACTCTCCCTTTCTAATCGCTGAGGGCGCACTCGCGTGCACGGATCCAACACTGCGCAAGCTCAGTGCATGCCTTCAATGTAAATGATCTACGACTGTTTACACTTGTTGTTCATTCGCTAAGCTACACAATTTGCATCATTGTCAAAATTCTGAAAAATGTATAGTTAACATTTTTTTTAAAAGTCAATAAAATACAAGTTGGCATCCTATAAATTTAAAAACACCTCTCTCTTTAACTGAGGTACCTTCACGACTTTGGCAAGTATACGTTGACTTTATATTCTATCAATAAATAGCTGCATAGAATAAATATTTCATCATGTAAAAATATACACATTTCCTTGACATATATGCACACACATCCCATACACACTCGTTATTTACTTCATAAATAAATAAATAAATAAATAGCGGCGATATTTTTTTCTCCATAAATATTATAAAATGTTTCATTTAATTGCAGTGTCTCTTCAAGCAGTCCTGAATCGATTCTCGCGGTTTTCTGAAGCGAATTGCACTCACGTTTTCCCTGCACATTTTAATATCTTGCTAAATCGCAGACTTTTGAAGAAATTAAAATATGGAGGGGCAAAAAAGTTACCCGCCAACACGACCTCTCGTGAAAACCCGCGCATATTGCCCGTCATGTAGACCTGAGTGGCGCCCTCTTTCGGCGATACTCGTCCGTCCTCTAGTCCTCTTTGTCCAGAACGCATACTCTGGCCACGGCAATTTCAATAGTCTCGTCTCTCCAGCTAAGCAATGGGAAACAACAACCATAACACTCGTGAGAATTTCTCCGTGCTTTGCCTGAAAACTGAGGGCGCTGTTGCTGGAATGTCAATTAACTTGAAAACAGCTTGGCCGAAAAGTTGGCCGATTGGTTTATTGTCATTTTACTGACACAATAATGAATCACCACAGAAAGGATGATTAAATGACAGCAAAATCTGCAATAATGACAATATGTTGGTGCTGAAATAGCTGTGGCATTGCGGCTACTGTCTGTAAATTGACATCACACCTCGTGAATATGGGAAATCGCATAAGCAACACATGCGCATGGGCGTCACCGGTTTTTGTTGGGGGGGGGGGGGGGAATCAATCTCCCCCCCCCCCAATCTTCGTACATTTGCTAGCATATTCTCAATTTATCATTCTTTCGATAGTTGCCCACATGCACCCCACCCCCACTGACAACCCTGCGGATGCCCAGTTTGTCACATGTGTATAAAATTAACAGCAGTATGACCTCACACCTTTTTTTCTTTTCTATTTTTTCCCCAATTTTGTCGAGACTCGTGTTTTTCCCCTTTTTTTCTTTTTCTTTTGCTTCTCGGGGGGAAGGGATCCCACGACTGGCGACGCCCATGCACATGCATCAATTATTCTTGGATCATACCGGGCCAAATTCGCGCAAGGACTATAGTTGACCAATGGTTAACCATAGTTCGACTAATGCTTGCCCGAACTCTGTCTAGTCGACGGTGGTTTACTCTACATAGTCGACTATTTGGAACCAATTACCTACTGGGGCTGGTTGTATCTCTGGTAACCAATAGCCGCGCGCGACGCTAGCAGAGAGCCAGGATCCAGAAGTTTTGCGATGACATTTTGACCAGTGTTACGCTAGGGACGATCGCACGTTGCTATCAGTGCGCAGGCGTAAGGTACGTCACAAATCAACCACTAGTCGACTATAAATGGTCCGTTGCCCAAACTTGGCCCAGGTCTGCTCATAGTCCTAGAATGGCGTCGCGATGTATAGCGCGCTCAATAGTTCGAGAATCAGGCCAAATATTGATAGGTCGAAAATCATTACATTGTGTGCATAATTGCAACAATATCACAGAAGATTTCAGAACGCTATAATTACCTTCCCGTGTTATTCATTTGCACCTGGATGGAGTAATTCACGATTACACAACTGCCCTGATTCGCGGGTTTACCCGAGTTGGGGTCGAGGCACTTGGCACTGCCAGGGGTTGCCTTAGCGACCATCAATTGAGCAGGTCTCCTAGGGGTTAAGGTGGGAGGAGAACAAGTGTTAATGGAAAAGTTGTGTTTCCCCACATTGCATCATTGTGGTCTCCGTGCAACGGACAGCATTCGGTTCTACCCCTCCCCCCTCCCCCTCCCCAACCCGCAAACAGGTCGCTGGGAAGGGTAAATCCGCTTTACGGATAGGCCATTGATCTCCATGTGGAGATCAATGGGATAAGCTATCAGTTTCGGTCAAAAAATTGGGCCACCGGTATCAAATGATCGAAAAGAGCAATGTTCTTAATTATAAATGCAATTGTTTTGGCAAGGTATACACATCTAGAATTTGAAAATGTGTGGTAGCTTTGTAGTGTAAGCGCTGGAAGTTTTGGGGTGTTATCATTTTCATTTTTATTTTCAAAATGGCCGCCAATATGCTTGAAATGGACTAATTGTGGGTAACAAGCATGTTATGGCTGCCACTTTTTTTCTTCAAAAAGGGATAGCACCCAAAAAGCTGCCGCGCTGCAATGCTCTCACATCTTGTCCAACTACAGGGGGTGCATGCATACATTACCAAAAATCACAACGGAGCATTATTCCCCTCATTTTGATAGCGACCAACCCCCAGGCTGATGGCCGATTAAAAGTAGCTTTGGGCAAATCAGCCGACTCCTGTGAAAATTGGACTCCTTTTACCTATTATTGGTTAATCCCTCGCACGTGACCAGTCACTCTCCTAATTATCATACCTATACGCATGCGCAATACTGCGAGTCTATATTTTGTGAAGTCGGATGTTAACGCTTCACTAGTCTAGGGGCTAGACGTTGCCATGGTTTGATACACGATTACCCACCTCAGCGATAACTACTATGATTTGTTTTGAATGCGCGCTGCATATATTAGGGCAAACAGGTGCGCGCGCATAGCACAACCAGTATGAATTGTCCGCGCCTAGGGTTCCAGACCAGTAAATAAACTTCCATTGACCCCAATGATAAATGCTCCGAATTCAGAAATTCGGGAAAAATACTGACAACTCTCCAAGGTGTTCGAGACACACATCAAATTAAAGCTTATGTCATCATCTTTCATTTTCTTTTCAATTTACGGGGGGTCAACTAATCACTTTTAGGAGAAATTTCCATCCGAAGATGATCACCCCTTAAAATAGTCCTGAAGCCCATCGCCATTTTGAAAAACAATGCCTACACTCCATTGCAAAATAGAGCGCTTTTAGGGCCCCAATTTCATCCAAATTGAACGGAACTACAAGCTCACAGTCCTGTGCACGGCTTCCGCCCATATTTTTTACAAACCCTCCAGTTCATGACCCACAGCATGCTCAAATACTGAAGACTTTGAGTGGTCTGCAACCCTAGACGTTGTTCTGACGAGTTCGTGGGTGATATTGGTTGGTCGTGATAGCGCCCTCTCGCGGCGGCGGAGTATCGTGTATCAAACCAACAACGTCTAGCCCCTGAACCAACGCTACACCGATACATTGCACTTGTTTCCCATCCCAGAGATGCCGAATGGGGGAAGCAAATGCTGCTATATTTAGCTCCGACTTCACTCGTCACGTGGCTCAAAACTGCAAGGAAATAACTGGATCTGAAAATAGATTCAGGGATACCCTCATATAGATCCTTGTAGCCGACTTCCACAATGAATGCACATTAAGCGTAAATTACACTATCTACTTCCTTCCTGGGAAAGTGATTTTGTTTGTAAGGAACCCGGACTTATTCTAAAGGGGAAGCTTAACATTTTGGAGGGGAAATTGACACACTGGGCTGCGGTCAACAAGAGAGGGGGCACTTAAAAGTTCACGCATTGTAATGCGAAATACCGACAAATTTTCAGGTGTGCGTGTTACACTCATTCACTCTAAAGACAACAACAACAACAACAACAAACTTTAGCCAGATTTGACTAGAAACCAGTTAAATTTGACTAGCTGTTCAGCGTCAGCTGGGTGCAACTGAAAATCACGTAATCTGACTAGATTTTTCCAGTCGATAGTATTGACTATAGGACAAAATAATAGTAATGCAAATAATTAACATTAAGGTCAAAGCCAACTAATTTTTCTAGTTGTAGTATGAAACTTTAGATGTTTAAATAAATTCCCAGTCGATTTTCAATAACCAGGAAAACCAGACAATATTTTGATTTTGAGTTCTTTTTTAGAATTGAAAGAAACACGACAGATCGCTGCAGATGACACTAGCGCTCACTATAGCCTTAATTGGTTTGTGCTGCTAAGATATGACAGCGAAATACTCGAAATGAAATTTTGAGATCTAGAATGTTAGTACAAGGGTAAAAAAAAAGGAGAAGACTTTAATTACCTGGCTGTATTTTCATCTTTCACATACTCGAACGGGCAGATGGCCCTGGCGGGCAGGTCGTGGCGGTTTCCGTGGGGGCCAGCGGCGCGTTTCCCCGTAGTGGATGTCTCGCTGGCCTGCTGCCCGCTCCCACTCCCGCTCTGCAACAGAGACACATCCCCGGACTGCCAGTTGCCACTGGGGATGCCCTGGGAATTGTCTGCGTTTGTGTTGGAGGGGATCTGGCCCGAGTGGTTTATAGAGATAGAATCGTGATCGTTCTTCCCGTTACCGCTAAAAGCGTTGTGAATGATCTCGGGGGTGAGGAGGGGCTTGTTGAAGGCGGAGTCGCTAGCGCCTCGCTTGATGGTCCCTGCCTCAGCCACACACGCGAACATCACGGCTACGGCTACCAGACCACAGATGAGGGACTCTTTCTGCAGTGAGGCAAGAAACGAAATAGATGTGTTTTGGTTAATTTACATTCAAGTCATTGCTGAAGGTACTGAGCCTTATTGAATTGGTAGGGGACTTTCTGGAACACCATCCCTGCAAGCATTTGGGCATGTTGCTTCAATTGTTTTTAGCTATATCTAGCGTTCCATGGCGCCATCATTAGTTGAAGCCGTTTGCTGTGACGTCTAATTATATCCTATACTATAGTCTGGTGCCTTTATTGCCCGTTGCTCATAACATTTCGTGTTGATTGGGAGTTCAGTACAAATTAAATGCTTATGAATGCAATTTCCCGACCAATGAGGTCAGTGTATGTAGGGCAACTGAGATTCCCTGTATAAAGTCGTGCAGGAAACGAGGTGTTATTAACCCTCTATCGACAAGGAAGCCCTGGTTGTTGTCCCAGCAGACTGTTATTTCTACACTTCCGCTGTGTAGATGATGCATTGAGTTCAAACGAAGTTTAAACCACATTTGTGTCAGGCATAAAACGCCTGCATGATGGGTTTTCTTCATTTTTAAACTAACAGGTGGAATGAGAGTTCGATGAACCGACATCGACCAATTAGTGGCCATTGGACATAATGTCGTCACGCTTGTTTGCATGCGAACTTAAGTGGGGACGTACGCCAGACGCCAATATCCCATAAGAAAGCGCACATTATGTAAAAAGTCATGAATTCAATTCTCTGGACGTGAATATATAGACTACTTTCTCCAGATCTCCTTGTTTTGTTTCGGGAAGAAAGGATAAGTAATAGTTAAAGCCACATTCGGCAGGCAAAATTGTTTTTTACAGTAAGAAGCTTTTTTTTTTTAATAGATTCTTACCTTTTTTTTAACACTTTATTTTGCCAAAGTAGGGATAGTTTACTGGTGTTTTAATATCTTTGTTTTTCTTAGGTTTTGTAAAATTATTATGTGTTTTGATATGTGTACTTTTATGTACGTATTGAGAAGATGAATTTGACTTGTTTTGAATTGTGATGAAGTAAACTATTGTATTGCAGTGATTGCACCATTCAATTAAAACGTTCCGAAATTAATAAAAGAGAGAAATTCAACGAACTTTCCATACCGATTGAATGTCCTTGTTATTGCATTCTTATGGCAAACAGAAACTGAAAGAGCAGCAATGGCATATCTTTTTGTTGGTTGCTCAAGAGTGAAAGCAGTTGCTAAAGCTATAATAAGTAATGCAATGATTGAATTCGCGTCTCGATATCCGCCTGTTCTTGACGATAACAAACACGTCTTTACATGCAGTTTTGTGTTATGGACATTGCACGTGCGGATATAACGTACTGAAACAGATAGATATTCAAAGTTGTGCTTCATGTCACGCAGACATACTCTTACTGAACAAATTGCGAAGCTAACGACATTTAGCTTCCGAAGCTGCAGTAGTTCTGACACTCATGTAAACTGTAATATCTTTGAGCCGTCCTCAACAAACCAGACTTTGTTTCCTAAGTTACGATTGCGCATGCGCACGACGCATGCGCACGAAACGACCGCGCGTTACGTTGTTCATGGCGGTATCAACCTCGTTCCCAGGGTGTTGAGCAGTCCGCTTACACCACTACCTGGTTTTTCACTTTTGGAACGAGGTTGAAAATAAAGTAAGCCATGGGGATAGAGATTGTAGGGATAGCATTATGCCTTTTCTTCCCAGTATTCAGAATATTACTGGCAACGGTGGGTACCAGTGACGAACGTCGATAGCTGGTGCCCTATAGGCACAAAATGTCACCCATTCTCGCATGAACATTTAGGTCAGCTGGCACCATAGCAAGTAGCATATTTGTGCCCATATTTGTTAGAGACACTTCCGTGTCCAGAAACCCCTCGCAACTCGTTTCATGAATTTCTGAGACCAAAAAAAAAACACTATAAGGTTATTTTTATGGGTGTCGTAAAATGTGGACATAATTATGGTGAACAGTCGTAGTGCCCATATCGAAATAAGCACATACTTCACACGTGGCTTTGCATGCGGAAGTTAAGCGCGTCAAGTCTCCAGTACATGTGGCAACTTGAATATCCACTGCTAACGAAAATGATACTCTCAACAAAACTACGACACGAAAATGTAATTCAATCCAAAGGAATACACGGCGTGTGTGATGCAACATCTTGGATGGACGATAAGGAACCGGCTGGGAAACACGAGTGAAAGTCCCGAGTCGTTTATTGACAGACAAGCGAAAGGGAATCAAAATGATAGTTCCGCAAACGTCGTCGCTTGGTGGTAAAAAAAAATAGTGGATACATTTGGACGAGACGGGAACATATTTGTTCTTTTTATCAATAAATAAACACAGATTTTTTTAAATATTATTTTTGGCAAAACATAATCGGAAGAGTGATGGCAAAAATAAACACAACCTCTGACATGATTGAATCGGTTGATTTTCAATTGCCTGTTGTGATCAATAGAGTTTGATTGGTTGTTAAATTGAAATTTTGGAAGATCGGTCGAATGACATTTTGGAATAACTATTATTCGTTATGAAATTGATAACTTGCAGAAAAAATTGTCAAAGTCAGCTTATATACAATAGCATATTATGCATGCAGTTTCTAATAAGGTTCTTCCAAGTGTACAAGGAAAGAGGCTTTAGAGGCAGTAGAATACGATGACTGAAATCGGTCAGCCTGTAAGCGTCAATTGCATGGGAATTTTTGGCAAAACTGAATCATTGTAGATTTTCCGTCAATTTGCAAGCGTTGTCCGAATTTGACGCCGGATCCGATGCCATTTTATCGAATTGGTGACGTCACCTGACTGACTTTTGGTCATTGCACAATTATCCAGGAAATCCCGAAACTCGAGCGGTGGTCAAATGAAGCGGAAGTTCGACCATTGCCTCGGTCAAAGGTCATGACCTATTGACACACACTGTGACAATTATGTGTCCATCACAGATCTGTTTGATTGGATTTCGTTTATTCAAACACAAGCACTCTTCTTGTTGTTTTTTTTTCGTTAGCACAAGCGGGTTACTAGCAAAGCCAATATTCTGGAGATGTTGACTTTTTGCTTAACAAGTCTAACATGCTGAGTAGTTTTTAAGCAGCACCGTCAAATTGACCAGATCGTATAATGATCGCCAGCAGCGTCGTGGCAGATCGTGACAACAATATTAGCGAACACTCAGAGTTTGTTTCTGCATTCAATAGGGGACGTTGAACAATAGAGGACAATAGGGTCCCCAATTCCCAAGAGGTCCCCAATTTGGATTCTGTATGTACAAAACACATAGGAGATCTTCCTAAAAAGGTACATAGGGGGTCCCCCGGATTGCATGCAAATACACACTTGTATGCGTGTATATAGTGAACTGATCACGCACAGTGACATCATGCAACCCAGCTACGAATACGAGTACACGCTGCCAACTTTATGAATGAACTCTCCCCGCCTGTCAATCCACACGCATCGACCAATTAGCTCACGGCTTTCGGTCAGCTGACCACGGACTCAGCAGTCACTTGCGCTGTGAGGAAGGTAAACAAACCAAAAATGGGCGGGGCTTGTGGCCGAATCCGGGACGGTCCACCCGTAAAGTCAACCCAAGCAAGGTCGAAAATGTTATGACAGACTTTCACCAATGATATCAGGTTGATATCCTGGATGGCGCGTGGCGAGCTGATTGCATAATTCACCGTTAGTCTTTCGTCACTCGCTGGTTGTCTGTGTGAATTACACGCTTTACATAACCAGACGGCTCGAAAACCCCGATCTCTCGATCAGTTCCGTGTGAGATCAATGACCACAGAGATAATTGGATTATTGCGCACTAATTTCCTCTAACCTCATTGGGATGGAATGTTTTGCTGCTGTGTGCTTAATTAATCATTGATGTGGTTATTCCCCACTTGAATGATGGAGTCACTTATATTAGTATATATTAGGTGTGAACATCGAGGAATAAAAAAAAACATATTGCTCCATGGTGAGCAGATGCGAGTAGGTATATTCTGGTAGTTGCTGACAGATTTATTGTTTCATTTTATCCAGTCTCGCACAGCTACACACGCGTTAACCACTAGTCAATCACAACTCAATCGCAAGGTATCTCAAGTCAATCACAAGCCTGTCAAAAAATCAATCTAAAGTCAATCACAAGTCAATCACAATTTACTCACAAAAAAGTCAACAGCAAGTCAATCACAAGGCAATCACAAGTCAGTCCAAAATCAATCCGAAGTTAATCACAAGTCCATCACAAGTCAATCGCAAGTCCATCACAAGTCAATCACAAGTAAATCACAAGTCAATCGCAAGTCAATCACAAGTCAAGTCAATTTTAAATATCATGTGATCTTTTTGAATTGAAAGTGAGGTAAATTTTTAATTTTTGGAACTTGCGAAGAATGAAAACATTCCCTAATGTCTAAAGCCAGATTGAAAGGAAAAAAATGACAGTAAAATATAAGGCTGAATAATACCTGCATAAAATAGTCTGGCGCCATCCCATTCAACATACAATCAGGGAACTCGACAAAAATGGCCAACCTGTGCTTAAGGCCCATTGCCTCTTAAAATCAAATGATAATTTTATATACATGTATATCAGAATTCACTATTATAGGCGGAAACGGTGAATAGCGTTTAAACGTGTGGGACATTTCAAAATCAAGGACAGAATTTGCAAGCATGGGATTTCCCATGTTAACAATATCGTCATGGAAAAATTGTACAAAGCGCAAATTGACACTCTTTTTACGCTTTTGGTTTTAGTTTTAGGAGCATTTTTGCTTGAAGCCATGAACTTAAATAGTAATCTCTGATCTTAGAGTAACACTTATTGGAGAGCTTTTCTTTTTCATTATTAAATTTCAGGGAGGAACTGAAGCAGGCCAACGTTTTTGTGCCTCATGAGCCCACATCTTGGGAACTAATTGTGGAAAACTAAATTGTCCGAAAATCTCACAAGTGCGAACCTGTAGTATCGTAAATAAACCACAGAGCTTTTACTTTTTTTTTAGATATAAATAATTGTTACGCCACCCCAGAAAAAGTAGTGTCAAACTATTGCGTTGTTTGTGTTTTCTCTTAATTTCGTTAAATGGCAAAAAAGAAAGAATGAAGAAATTTATAATTGCATCTGAATGAGCGTGTTGAGTAATCCACACTTGCCTCATCGATGCATAAAATATTGCTATAAATTCTGCTGACAGCCGGCCTCAACCAATCTACATCGCATTATCGATTCCTGCTAGTTTAAAGTAAATATTTTCAACTAAACTTCAGGGATACTCCACAAGAATCAGTTTTCAAACCATAAATTTTCGGAGTCCATCTCAAAACTCAAATCAATGAACATCATGCTTGAGGGTTTAAAAAAAAGCAAAAGTCGACAGTCGATCCCACGTAGGCTTAAACAAAAAAATACAATAATGTCATCAACTGTAACTTATTTTACACGCTCAAAAAACTGTGTTTAGCAATTAAACACAATCTTGCTATCACTTTGTAAACATGTTTAGATGCTAAACATTATGTGCCCAATTCCTAAACATCAATGTTCAATAGCTAAACACTATCCATCCTCACTCTAAACATGTCAAGTATTTTAAACATGTTTACAAACTGATAGTAAGAAAGTGTTATAATTGCTAAACGCTGTTTTGTAGTCTTCAGTGAGCATTAACTATTTAGAAAAAAAACCAAGTTGCAATAATATAAACAATTGTTCAATCCAACTTGGATCAACAAATATTTTCATGTCTGTTAACTCACCTCCATTGTACGATACATTCTCACAAACTTTAGATTTGTTTTCATCCAATTCTAAGTTATCTGCTGAATCAATTAGAACTCAGTCGTCTCTCTTAGCTGTCAGGCGTGTTCAAAATTTCGTCTCTTGACTGATGAAAAATGATGATAAAACAATGACTTGGTCTGGGTTATGTTTCTGACTGAATGAATTCTGAAGTTGTCCGCATCGATGGCTTAAAACACAATGATTGATTACCATCAAAGAAGCTGGCTTTTATACACGTTGTCACTTATGTTCATCAGTTCGGCTCTGCGTAGAGCGGGTGGATCGGATGTTTCGGACAGCGCGCGTTCCTCCCCGGGGGAATCCCCGGTCGTTGTTTGTAAATAACTCGCAGTCATCCCGTTCGAGTCATCGTGGGCGGAGCCGGTCCAGAAACATCCTTCTCAATGAACAAGGAACCGGAATGCCGATATATTCTTTTCGGTCCATTGGATTATAAAGTATCCAATTATAATGTGACGCGAGCGAGAAGATAGTACACTTCGGATAAGCTAGATAATTTGGTTAAGAAAGGGGAAAATCGGCGCGCTTAGGATGTTACAATTACGCAATCAAAGTTGCCGATAATGCCTACGTATGCAGTTGATAACAAGCGTGGTATAATTGCCAGGCTATGCGGTTAATTTCGATAATTGAATAAAGAGCATTTAAGGGAAATTATGATTGGAAAATGATGGGGGAAACAGTGGATATTTTTTTTAGACACTATCAAGAAAAAAAGAGAGAAAAATACCAAATTGATAATATTATCGTTTCATGACATCAGCGTGGAAAACTACCAGTGCATTTCCTAATATAAACTAGTGTGAAGTTTTAAAAAGACAATGCGTTCGTCTCTCGTGTATTGAAGGAGCACTCCCCGCACTATTGTTTTTCTGATACGATATTTCATTAATTGTGTCAGTTTTCGTTTGAACAAAAGGAATTATAGCCGGTTGCGCTTAAATAACAGCCTGCATCGAGCTGAATACTGCTTAGGGGCTACGATAGAATTTGGATTGTTTTCAATGGCCCGATGAACAGGGGTAATAATCATAGTGTCACGTGCCTTGAGAACCTGTTTGATTGACTGTACGTTGTGCAAATCCATGTTATTATTATTAAAGGGAAAACGTTTAAAAACTACAAATGAAAATATGGCAAATTTTCGTTGATTTGTTTCGTTTTACAACAGGAATGGCCTTGACTTTAACTCGAAATTTTAACTTGCATCGTGGGAAAATCATGACGTTACAGCCTAATTAACTTCGCCTAATTAAACACTAAATATGGCATTTTTTACGTTCCGACACCGTTTTTGGTCCGACATCAAGCAAAGCCCGGAAGTTGAGGTGGGTGGGGAAGGGAGTGGAACATAAAAACCATTGAATGGGTTGAAAAGGGAAAATTCAACTTCGTTTCAGAACCCAACAAATCAAAACCACAAAAACCTCAAAAACGGACCAGGGAAAGATTAAAAAGCTAAGCTTTTTGGGAAGAAATTTGCGGTGCAATGGTCTTCCTGCTCGGACCGACAACTAGCCAAAGTGGCATCAATCAAACAAAACAAATAACTGGTGGGGTGGGGTTGCAACTCTCTCTCCCCCCCCCCCCCCCCCCCCCCCCCCGTTCAGCCTCCACAACTAATCTTATGATACCATTCAACAAGGGAAACAAGTACAATTAAATGTTAAATTTCCAAAATTTATTTTCCGAATTCTGTAGAATGCAGGCGAAGGTCTCAGTGGCGCACCCAGGATTTGGCTGGGGTGGGGGGAGGGGGGGGCTCAAAACAAATTTCAAAAGAATGTTTCCCAAAAGTTTTGGCCGTAAAAAAAAAGTTTTTTTCGACGTTGGTGGTGCCACTTATTATACTACTCGAAAATAGGCCACATACATATCATCAAGGTCAAATTGTGAGACTAAAAAAAAAAGTCACCAAAAAAAACAAATTGACAACCTCTGGGGGGGGGCTCAAGCCCTCTGAGCCCCCCCCCCCCCCCCCCCCCCCCCCTTTAGGCGCGCCACTGGAAGGCCTCGTAGATTTCAAAATATTCCGGGGCATGTTTCGGACCCTAGCTAGCTCCGCCCCCATGAGGATTTCTTTTAATGTCAAAGAATGAGTAGATTTCAAATTTAAGAAGACTTGTAGTCAAGGCAATTCGAAGATTTGCTTGTACAAAACTGAAGAATTACGATGGGCCAACTACACGTTCTTATGTCATCCGGCGCAGTTTTGTTTTCGTCATTACATTTCGTTTCCCATAAGTTTTAGACCTGATCCCTCGACTACACAACTTCCTGCGCGTAACAAAACCGAAAAAAAAGACAGATTTAAAAAAAAAAGGATTAATTTCGTGGATCATGTAAACAAGTTTAATTAAGGCTCACCCATAATCAACAATTAGCACATACGCAATTATAATTACCGAATGAGGATACGGACCAGATGCGTCAGAATAAATTTGTTGTACGGGAACTCATTGCCACAAAGGGTATCTCTGCCAAAAACAAATCTAAAACAATTTAAGCATTTATTATGATAATTACAATGTAAAAAGAAGCATAATAATAATACCAATGTAAAAAAAAAAACAGTGGCCAACTACGGTTACATTTCTGGGGCTATTACAGGATGCCACCAGAAGTTTAACCCATATAGTAACGTCACTGTTAATAAGACTCACCTTAAATATATACTTGCCTGCTTTCAAACATGATTTATGTAAAAAAAAAAATTAAAAAAGAAGAAAAGAAAGAAAGAAGGAAAGAAAAAGGCTACAATGAAAAGAGAACACAGGGGCGGAGTCTATATCTTGGGTAGGTTTTTTGTTGTTGATATTTTAAAATGGCGTGTCCATGCTATAAAGAAGTCTGGGGACATGCCTTCTTCCCCATTCTAAAGCATTTTCAGATTTTCGGAAGTTTGTGTCAAATGCGGGCGCCTATATAGACCCGCTTGTAGTGATCTGTTTCGAATGTAACGTGTTTGTCAATTTCGTCTCTGTTTATTTCTGCAATCATTAAAAAGGAACATGATATGGATCTTAGTCAAGTTTTATGTGACCTCTGGTATAAGCGTGACTTTATTGCAGAGGAAACAGCTTACGGAGTTTCGCTTATGCCGACACCCGTAGTTGACAACAAAACCTGCCTGAAATGCTGATGGAAATATAAGAACTGTTGCTGTGTACGTATTACAGCGCAGTTTATGTATTCTGAAACTTGATCAAATATCATTCTTACAACACGAGAAGACATTACAGAGGTGGATATCCACACACGTCAATCTAAACACAACTACAAAAATACAAATAATATTACCCAGAGGCGTATAACTAGGGGGGTGCATGGGCGTCGCGGGGGGGGGAGGGGCTGCCACCCCCCCCCCCCGAAAAGACACACACAAAAAAGAAAAAAAAAAGAAAAAAAAGGGAAAAGAGATGTGAAGTCATTTTTGCTATTAATTTAATACACATTTAACAAAATGGTTGTCTGCAGGGTTGTCAATGGGGGTGGGGCGGGGCCCACCCTCGATAAAAATGATAAATTGAGAATACGCAAGCGCAAGTACAACGGAGGAATGTGCTTTGCTCCCCCCTCCCCCCCCCCCCAAAAAGAATCCTGGCGACGCCCATGGGGCCGGGGGAGGGAGGGGCACGGAGGCACGTGTCCCCCATCACATCAGGCCCCTCCCCCCACATTTAATTTCTTAATAAGAACAATACGTATGATATGCCGTCAGTACCCCCCCCCCCCACACCCACCCAGCTTGAAAATGGTATTTCAATCAATGGCGTTTTACAGAATATATTATGTCACTGTCAACTACGGATGTCGGTAAAAGCGAAACTCCAATAAACAAACGTGTTTCCTCCGCTAGTCACGTCTACACCAGAATGTCACGAAAAGGACTGGAATTCGTATCATTTTCATTTTCCTTAGAGAAAAACAGAGACGAAAGTGACAAACATGGCTTCCTTTGAAATTGTAATAAAGATCAAATTTGTTTTCCAAATGATTTCAAGTTCAGATATAAGGGCCTATGCAATGCGATAAATAAATATATTTATCTATTTCATACAACATGCAACACCGCAAACGCTAGAATAGGATTGATAAACTGATTAATTTACAATTAAATTAACCCAAAAAATTACAATAAAACATAATCATAACACTTACATACACACATCTCAAATAAAAAAAAAATAAATATAAAAAAATAGAAACATAACCCCCACACTTGATGCTTGGATTTTAATAGCATTCAGTCGTTCATCTATCGTGAAACGTTTTACTCATTGTAATACAACCTTTATGTACGCTCTAACAAACGCTATTATAGGCTTTTAAATTATCGTTTGAAGTTTATTATTACGAAATAAAAAGAAAAAAAATCAGTTGAATCTAGAGGAATTTCAAAATGGCGCTGAGGCCGAGGCCCTCAGTGTCATTATTTGTTGAGAGGATTAAAACAAAGGAACGTTCCTCAATTCATACAATGGCTTTGCACTGCACTGCAAAAACTGTAGTGTAAATTTAACACCATTTGGTATCTATATAGGACAACACCAGTAAAATTCAACACCAGATGGTCCTATATAGATACCAATGGTGTATATTTAACACTCCAGCTTTTGCAGTGTGTGAGCCTTGCTTTCAATGCTAATTTGGATTCATCTATTATTTATTTGTGACCTGATGGCACCACGAAATGAGCTTAAACTCGGAATAACCATTCTGCCCATCCTGCTGCACAGTGGGACAGCCCAAATTGTTTTAAAGGGGTAGTAGTCGAATTTTGTTTTAGGTGAACCTAACCATAAGTCCTGTGCAACCTTTCTCCAATGTTTTTTGTTCTGTCAAACATCTTTAATATCTAATTTTTATCAGTTGACTGTGCTTTCAATAGAACACAACTGCGGGATATTTAAATGTCATTTTCTCAAGAATCGGTTTTACCACTTCGAGTAAGTCGGTGGTCTGTACTCCCATAACTGAACGCAGTGCTGTGAACTGTTGAAAATCCCGTGTTCTGCAGAATCCAGATGCTTAAAAAGTCAGACTTTAAGCTCATTCTGTGATGACAGGTTAGAAATGGCTGAAAAACAGACTTCATATTTGCTTCTTCTTTTTTTTAGCACTGTCAAACAATAATTTGTTTTGTAAAATTCTAACAAAATCTCATGATAATGTGGCCACAAAAGCCGACCAATTCCTTGCACCGACTCCCGCTAGCAGGAAATGC